CCTCTGTCCATGAAGAACCAGGCACTTCCTGGTTCCGTGTCCCCTGCACCTCCACTGAGAGGGCGCCCAGGCCTTGGGAGCTTATGCTTATGGAGGACCTACTGTGTTCAGGCCCTCGCCTGCTAGCTGCTCTCCCTGGTCTCCCTCAGATGCCTCTCTCTCAGGCTCTTCTGCCCAGAGGCAGAGAGGCAGGAGTCCCCAGGCTGGACCCCATCCCAGCTCTGCCTGGGACCTGCTGGGGAGTCTTGGGCAAGTCCTGTGTCCCCTCTGGGCCTTGGTTTCAGTTTCTGTAAGTTGAGAGCTGGAATAGCAGCAGGTGAGGTCTCTGAGGGTTCTTTCCAGGACCCGGTGAAAGGGAAAAATCTTAATAGTGCAAAGAAGGTTTGCTCAGGGGCAAAAAAGGTGGTCACACCCAGGACTCCCACCCCTGGGGCAGAAAGGACTGGACTAGAGGCCAGCACACTCAGATCATGGAGTAGGGACTTGAGGGGTGGAGGGGACCCTGCTCCACTCAGGGTAGGTGTAAAAATGGCGTGGTGGGGTGTCAGACCTCCTCATCTAACTTCACGAGGGGGAAGGAGAATCAAGATCAACAGGCCAATATTTTTACTAGTTCTAAAAGCTGTCCTTCCTGTGGCACTCTCTGCTGGGTTCGGTGATTCGTTGCAATGGCCACACAGAACTCTCAAACCGTACTTAGAGTTATGGGGTTTATTAGGGAAGTAACAGGTGACAATTCAGGATACAGTTCTTTCATCACGACAGTCTCTTATCAGCTGTGCCCCCAGGCAGGCCTCTCTCTGGCCCTCGGCCCTTCAGCCCAGCCTCTGCCCTGCTCAGAAGTGTTAAAAATCTCTTTGCTCCACCAGTAAGTGCCCGGAGACACCTCACTCAGCAGGTAAGCCTCCACCCGAAGGCGGTCAGCTCTCTAGCTCTGTCCACAGACAAGTGCCCGGAGGCACCTTATTCCGCCAGGAAGTGTCCTGCTTCAAGATGTTCAGCTTTGTTGCTCAGTGGGTCACGACACCCACTGTTACCACCTTGCTCCGTGGGCCAAGAAGCCCACTGTGTCATCTTGTGCCCATCTCTCGTTTCTGCTGCCGCCATTTCTCTACCCCAGTTTCTCACCATCTTGAGCCATCTCCTGTGTTATAGCTCTCTGTGTCTCCTGGGTCTAGGGGGTTCTCAGTGCAGGGATGCTGGGTCCAAATGATGCACTCCACTCCCAGCTCTTCTTTCTTGGTGGTGGTGAGGTCCCCCCTCTGCTCTGGGATTGGCTGTTTTTTAAGCCTAGCAGGATGGCAAGACAGACCAATCCCCTCGTTAGGGTTCCATACACCTTATTTGCGTGGTACCACCCCCACAAGGGTGCCATGCACCTTATTTGTATTATTAACAAGCTAATCCCGTTGGTGGGCCACAAGCACCTTATTTGCATACCTTCACCCGATCATTTAGTGGGAGTTACAAGACCATGGCAAGACAGGCCGTATGAAAGTGATCCAGCACACCGAAGTGGGGTAGTACTGCCAGGATTGGGCACAGCCGCCCATCCATGACCATTCTGGTGTGGGCATGGGCAGTCCTACAGTAGGCACAGCCATCAACAGACCTAGGGCCTTGGAACAGAACAGGCCTGTGGTTAATTAAGCTGTCAGGCTGAGTGGAATCCCAGCTCTACCACTAGCCCCCTGTGTGCTCTCTAAGCCTCAGTTTCTCCCTCTAGAAAGTGGGAGTAACAATAGTACCCATCTCATAGGTTATGATTCAATGAGGTATGTTTGCAAAGCATTTGGCATAGAAGTAAGTGCCCAAGAAATGGGAGCTACTATTTTTCTTATCCTTGTTATTATTATTTAGGTGGTGGTTATTGTTCTGGGGGCCCAGGAAGGGAAGCCAGTCCTAAAAAAGCAGATCCTCCTGGAGCGAGCCTGGGCCCGGAGACACAGCAGGCCTGAGCTGGGCTGAGGAGCCCCCTCATTTCTGGGGTCTGCATCACTGACCTGGGACAGGGACAAGGGCTGGGGATAAGACACCCCCACCCCTGTGTAGCCTCCCACTCATCCTGTGACCTTCGGCAAGGGGCTCCCCTTCTCTGAGCCCACAGCAGCCAAGTTCATCAGGTTTCTGGCCTGGCTGCCCTGCCCCAGCTCGGTGGTTTTCTGTTAAGGTCAGACCGCCCAAGGTGGGTGGGGTGGGGGCTGAGAGGAAGTGATGGACCTAGACACCAGGGGCTGGGCAAGAGGCCTCACATCCGCCCTTGGGGCCCCAGACTGCTGGATAGGATAGTGCCTTCACAGCCTGGAGGCTGGACCTTGGTGGCTGCTGACTTTTAATTAAAAACAAAGTAATGTTACATTACCAAATTGGTATAAAGCAAACAACCTGGAAGTTTATAACGCAAAAAAGTGAAAGTAGTATCTACCTCTTCCAAGCCAACTCTACCCTTTCGGGGAAACTACTGCTGGTATTTCTGTGTGCATTCTTCCAGACGCCTTTTGTGTGCTTTTGCAAACATACATGCATAGATAGTTGTATTTTAAAACAAACAAAAAAAAAATGAATCATGCTATACATACAGTTCATTTTTTATAGATTAAAAATAAGTTTTTAAATATTAAAAACATGGCATGTTCATTGTCTTAAAACTTTCGGAAAATACAGTTAAGTCAAAAGAAAAAAGACCAGAATCTCGTTATTCCAGAAATAACCACACTAACACTTTAGTCACTATAATGTTGTTGTTAGTTGCCAACCTTATGATAAGAGTGAAATGTTGCTCGGTCCTGTGCTATCTTCATGATCGTTGGTATGTTTGAGTCCATTGGCTATTGTGCAGTGCCTTCCAACCTACGGGGTTCATCTTCCAGCACAAAATTGAACAGTATTCTATTGTAATCTATAAGGTGTTCATTGGCTAATTTTCAGAAGTAAATCACCAGGTCTTTCTTCCTACTCTGTCTTAGTCTGGAAGCTCTGCTGAAACCTGTCCACCATGGGTGGCCCTGCTGGTATTTGAAATCGCAGTGGCATGGGTTCCAGCATCACAGCAACATGCAAGTCACCACGGTACGACAAACTGACAGACCGGTGGTGGAATTATTATGATAAGCTAAAACGTATCTCATTTTTATTTATCTTTCCTCCCTTTTTCACCCTTCTTTTTGAATACTATGCTATACACAAAAGGCTGTATATATCATAATTGTCCACCACCTGCTGGATGCTTCACCAATATATTGTGTGGTTTTATTTGTCTTTATTTTTCACTCTTCATGTTTCTAACTTTCATCCATGTAATTGCATGTAATTATAGCTCATTCAATATCCTCTGCTGTGTAATATTGCATAATGTGAATGTACCACAATGTAAAAAAATCATTCTCCTGTTGATGGATATTTGGGCTGTTTCCAGCTTTGTATTATTTCAAGCAATGCTGCTATGAACATTGTTGTGTACATTTGTAAGAATTTCTCCAGAGTATATACCCAGGAAGTGGAATGCACATTTTTATAACTTTGTTTTCCAAAGTGGTTATGTGAAATGTAGTTTTCTCTTGTTTTGTTCATTTAAATATCCTGCGCATCTTTTCCTCTGTGTACATATCGATCTACATCACTCATTTTAACAGCCTCACAGTGCACTTTAGCAGGACTGTGTCTTTGTTTTCTTAACCATTACCCTATCTTTTTTTTATTTTTGTACTTTTGGTGAAAGTTTACACAACAAACTAGGTTTGCATTTAACAGTTTCTATACATATTGTTCTGTGACATTGGTTACATTTTTCAGAATGTGTCAGCATTCTCATTATTTGCATTCTGGTTGTCCTGTTTCCATTAATCTTGCTTCCTCTCCCCCCCACCCCCCCGCATATCTTCTCATCTTTGCTTTAGGGTAAATATTGATCGTTTGGTCTCATATAGATGATTATTTAAAGAAGCACAGTACTCACGGGTGATATTGTTTGTTTTATGAGCCAATCTATTATTTGGCTGAAAGGTGACCTCCAGGAGTGGGTTCAGTTCCAAGTTTAATGGGTATCTTAGGACGATAGTCTCGGGGGATCCTCTAGTCTACTGGTTCAGCAAGTCTGACCTTTTTTAGGAATTTGAGGTTTGTTCTACGTTTTTCTCCCATTCTATCCAGGATCATCTATTGTGTCCCTGGTCAGAACAATTGTTAGTTGTAGTGGGGCACCATCTAGTTCTTTGGGTCTTAGGATGAATGAGGCTGTGGTTCATGTGGGCTGTTAGTCCTGTAGACTAGTTTGAGTTTTTGGTTTACCAGTCCCCCATGAATGGCTTCTTAATTTGTTATTTTTCACTGTCACATAAAATGATGTAATGAATACCCCAGTAATTATAAGAGGAAACATTTTTCATCTTTACAACCCTGTGAGGTTGCTCTTCTCCCCATTGTTCAGAGGCAGTGAGTGGGTGAGTAATGTGCCCAGGCCACACAGCTAGTAGGTGGTAGAGCTGGACTTGAATCCAAGCAGAGTGACCTGAGCCACACTCCCAACCACTGTGCTGCTCAACCTTGCACAGTGTGTGCAGGCTCTCCTCGCAGAGTGGAGGGTCGAAGTACACGGATGATGGACATGTAGATTTTGATACATACTGCCTGAGAGAGGTGGCCCTCTCTCGGAGCTGCACTAGTTAGTGATCAGCAGTGCCTGAGTGAACGCCTGAGTAAGGGACTACTGGGTGCAGGGCGCTGGGCAGGGAGCTGGAGGCCCGGGGTGAGGCAGTGTGCTCTGGACTCAGTTTCCCCATCCGTGGTTGCATAATTCAGCGAGACAGAACTGGGCCTGACCCATGCTAAAGGGCTCGGAAAGATTATTATTTTTGTTGTTACTACGGGTTGCACCGAGGGGTAACAGATCCGTTCACGAAGCCCTAGGACCCGGGTCTCTTACCCCTTACCCTTCCCCGCCGGCGCCGTCCGGGGGCGGAGGCCCCGGCCACCTCCCTTGCCTGAGCCCGGGAGGCGACAAGCGGCACTAGGACCCAGTAGGCTGGGGCTGCGGCGGGGCCTGGGCGGCCTGCGGAGAGCGGACCCCGGCTCTCGGCTCCCGGCGCCATGTGAGGGGGCTCGGGGGCCGCGGGGGGCCGGGCGCTCCCCGGCGGAGGTGAGCTGGCGCCGCGCGGGGGCGGGCTGCGGGAGTGGGGAGCTGCCTACGCCCAGAGAGGCGGGGATGGGAGGTAGCTATAGATGGGTTGATGCGTGGCCTGGGGGCTCCCCCGATCCTCTCGCCTTTGGTATCGGCGCCCAGGGATCACCGTCCTCGCCCCCAAGGGCTGTCGCGGGGTTTGCTGGGCCCTCTGCCGCTGACGACCCCGTTAGAGCTCGTGGACCCTGCCGCCGACCTGCTTCCCCTCTCTTCCCAGCTGGGGCTAGGGCTCTGGGAGTGCGGGGAGCTGGGGAGAGGGTCGGCTTGAGGGAGGCGCAGGGGCGAGCCCCTTTCCCAGGTGGACTCGCGGGCTTGGCGCCCCCCCCCCCATGATTTCGGAATTCTGAGTCCCCCTCCGCTTATTCCTGGAGCCCTCCTCCCACGCAGCTGGTGGGGGCGTCCCGGCCCTGCGGGATGGCACCTCGGGCTGGGAGAGGGAAAGCCCCCAAACTGAGGGCAGAATGTAGTAGCTCCTACCTTCGGCCCACGGGTTCAGCCTGTGCACCCAGCCTTTGGGCTGAATGCATGCTCCTGGCGCAGCTCTCTGGGCTGCCGCCTCCCCACCCCGAGCAAGTCGCTCCCCAACAAGAGAGACCTGCTCCCTCTCCACCCTAAGCAAGCCTGTTCCCCACTGCTTGGCCAGGTGTTGGCACGCACAAGGTGGCCTCTGGCTCTCTCCAGCCCAGGGGAATCGCTAGGGAGACTCCGTCAGTCTCGGCCCTGGGCCGCCTCCTGTAACCAAGTCTCTAAAGAAGGCTCCTCTACCCAGATGGTCTGTGCCTTTCTGGGCGACCCTGCCTCTTTGCCTCTCTGAACTTTAGTCTCCCCATGGGGAGTAAGAACCTCTGCCTAGGGGTGTTGCCACGAGTATTCAGTGCGTGTTTGGTGCTTAGCATGCTTCCAGCACACCTTTCTTGATATTAGGGGGAAGTCGCTGGGCTGGATGGGGAGTAGGTGTTGAGCTGACAAAACGGTAGAGCCAGGCCTTGAACAATGAGTAACAGCAAGACTAACAGCACTGGCACTGACTGAGCCCCTTGAAGCCTTGTGCTTCTCTTGCCACATCAGAGAGAGAAAACTGGCCCCTTCTCCCAATTGGCTTGAATCCTTCCAACAACCTCATGAGTTACCTGCTCTTATTATTCCCATTTCACAGATGAGGAAACTGAGGCTCAGAGAGGTCACATGGCTTGCCCAAGGCCCCCCAGCCAGTAAGTGGTAGAACCGGGATTCGAACTCGCACCTGAGAAGCTGTACTGACCACGGCCTTCTCAGAGCAGGATTGTGAGGGGGCTGACCAGGGGGACGGTGGTCCTGGCTGAGGGCACTGATCAGGCAAAGGTGGGAAAGTGGGGGGTGGGCCTGGGAACTGGAGTGCTGTAGTGTATGTGGAGCATGGGGCATTGGCAGGAGAGGGTAGTGAGAGGGGAGACTCAGCTCAGAAAGGTGGCTGGACAGTGAGGGCCTTGAATTTCAAAGGCTCAAGGATGATGGGGGCGACCCTGGCTTTTGCCCCGATGGGCTTTGAGTCCAAGGACAATCCCCTCCTCCTTTCTGACGAGCCTCAGTTTCCTGATCTGTAGCACTGCGCGTCTGGGACGGACGTCATTGAGTCTCCGGGTCAGGTGAGAAGCCCAGGGGCCTCCCTAGCTGCCTGTGAAGGGCCTGCCCTGGAGAAACCTGACGCTGGCCATGGGGGAGGGGGGCTCCGGTGGAGAGGGAGAGAAGTTGGGTGGGGGCGGAGCCAGGGCCTAACCAATCAGGAGTCGTGTGTGTGGGAAGCCTCTTTTGGCCTGAGGTTCTCTGGTTATTTCTGATGGCAGGGTAGGAGTAAACAGCCGCTAGGTCAGGGGGCGGAGATAGTGGTTGTGCTGAGAGGCCTTTGGAGGAGGAGTGGAGCTGGGGGGCCCCCTTGACCCCCAGTTTATCCCTCTGTACACTGTCCCTCCATTACTACCTTCTGAATCTGTTGCAGGTAGGCTAGACACACACTTATTCCCTTTATAAACCAAAACCCGTTGCTGTGGAGTCGATTCATAGCGACCCTTTAGGTCAGAGTAGAACTGCCCCATAGCGTTTCCAAGGCTGTAATCTTTGCGGAAGCAGACTGTCACATCTTTTCTCCCTCAGAGCAGCTGGTGGGTTGGAACCGCTTAACCACTGCACCACCGGGGCTCCTTCTGCCCTCATACAGGTGGGGAAACTGACGTCTGGAGAGGAGCTCGGGGTACTGCAGAGGACGGTTTGGGGAGTGAGGGGCGGAGCTGGGCTTATCCCCTCATAGCACAGGACGAAGGTAGGAAGGAAGCGGCAGCTCAAGATTGCATTGTCTCACTGAGGTGCCCCCCCGCACCTCCCCCGTCCTGGGGAGGGCTGTGATTACAGCCATTTGACAGAAGGAGTCGGAGGATAGGGAGCCAAGTGACCTGCCTGGTTCACTCAACTAGTCAGCGGTGGAGCTGGGACTAGAACCAGGTCTCTCAGAAGTGCGTCCACATGCCATTAAGGACCAAGATCTTATGGATTAATGAATTCAGTCATTCAGTGATACTCCCACGCTGTGTATCTCTGGGTGCTGAGGTACAGTGGAGGATGCGCGGACCTGTGCCAACTGTGCCCTCAGAGAGCTGTCAGCCTGGATAGGAGCAAGGACCTAGATGAACACAGTTATTGGGGGGACACGGAGGAAGCTCTGGCCCACCCCAGGCCCGGAGGATCAGCACCAGTCATCTGGGTGCAGGGTGCAGGAGGGAAGGGTGTTCCAGGCAGAGGGGACAGTTTATGCAAGACCTGGAGGGGTGAGAGGAAAGGAGTTTGGGGAACTATGTGGAGGAGGAGTGTTATTAATTTTGAGGCCACAGGGACCTGAGACAGGGTTTAGAGCAGGGACGGGGTGAGGGGGGGTGCGCCTGTGGCAGAGAGCAGATAGGTCCTCCAGCAGGGGAGCCAGCCTTAGGCTTGCCAGCTGCCTAGGAGAGCCTGGGTGTGGGGTAGTTCCCGCTCAGGAAGGAGAGTGGGAGAGAGCGCAAGAGGCAAGGAGAGATAGGGCTCTGCCACCGCTTGGCTGTGTGACCTCAGGCTGGTCCCTGCCCTTCCTGGGCCTCAGTGGCTCCATTTACAAAATGGTTATGGCCCTGAGTCTTAAAGTTCTGGGTGGGCAGAAGAGCTGGTAAGGGGTGGGAGGGTGTAGGGCTTGTAGCCTTTGACCAGATGGGCCCAGGGAAGGGTGCCAAAATCTTGTAAATTTCTGGTGGCTTGCAGGTGTGACCCGTCTTCCCTGCCTCCCGGCCCAACTGCAGGACGCTGGCCCCCACCCCTCAGCAGACGCCGGAGAGAGATGAGTAGCAGCAAAGTAAGTATTCCTCTATTTCTTGTCCCCATCTGAGCCTCTCACTTCCCTCTGTGAAATCAGCTCCTTTGGAGCTGCCTGGGACCCAGGTCACCACAAGTCTCTTCCCTGCCAAGCAGCAGCTGGTGCCTGGGAGGCCCAGGTTTGAGCCCTACTTGGGCCACTGATCTGCTGTATGGCCTTGGACAAGCTCCTGCCTCTCTCTGGTACCAGGCCCCGCCTTTGTCTACCTAGGCTTGACTGGTCCAGCTATGGTGAAGGACTCCTGGGTCTTGCCCAGCCTTGCAGACGCTGGGCAAATAAGTCCCAGCCTTGGACATCACCCATTATCTGGCCACCACAGCCGCACCCTGGTACCCTACTATTCATGTATCTCAATTCCTGACCAGCACACTTCCCTCTGGTTTAATTGAATGATAAACATCTATGTAAAGTTACTGTTTGGAAGAGACCTGGACCCTCTCACACAGATGCACCACTTACCTCTAGGCATCCTCCTGGCTGCAACTGGAGGGATCCTTCTGACACCCATATCCAATCTAATCCAGCAAACTGTCTCTGAGAATTTACTGGACTCCAGACCCTACCACAGGCACTGGGATATGATGGGAAATGAGGCTGACCTAGCCCTCTGAGCTTCAAATGGGAGGAAAGAATGGCAGTTTGGATGCAGTGTGATCAGCACTGTGATGAGGGGTTGCTCAGGGGGCTGTAGGAGACTTTCCTCGAGGAGGTAGTGTCTGAGCTGGCCTGGGAATGAACAACAGGAGTTAGCTCAAGGAGGTGGGGTGGCCAGCCTGCACGTGGCTGGGCCCTCACCGGCCTCTCCCCTCTCCAGGAGCAGCGGTCAGTAGTGTTCGTGGTCCTCTTTGCCCTCATCACCATCCTCATCCTCTACAGCTCCAACAGTGCCAATGAGGTCTTCCATTATGGCTCCCTGCGGGGTCACAGCCACCGGCCCATCAACCTCAAAAAGTGGAGCATCACCAATGGCTACGTCCCCCTTCTGGGCAACAAGGTAGGGCCAGCCACTTTGGGGGAGCCCACTCGGGAGCTGCCTGCTGGCAGATCCTCCCCATTGCCTACCATCACTTCTCCTCTTGCCCTTCCACCTTTTCTCTCTGTCACCCCATCTCTCCTAAAGGAAATGGTGGATCCCAGGAGTCAGAGACCTTGGCTTCCTGTGACTTCAGCCATTTGCTTGGATAATTGTCCTACCCTCTCTGGGCCTCAATTCTGTCCAAGGCCTCACCCCTAGCACTAATATTCTACACTGTCCTGACTTAGAATCCCTTTGGAAGAGTGTCTCTGGTTCTCACTTATCTCTGTCTCTGCTGGGGAGTCCACACAGTGCTTGGGGGCAGGACACTTGGGTACTTGACAACACAAAAACAGTAATAATAACAGCTGCCCTTTATCAAGTGCCTGCTGTGTGCCAGGTGCTATGATCATCAATAATCCTGAGACCAACCCTGTGAAGTCAGCATTGGTATCTCCCTTGAATAGATGGTAAAATCGAGGCTCAGAGAGGTGAAGTTACTGGTCTAAGGCCATACAGTAAGGGAGGGGAGGAGCTGGGGTTGAACTCCGATTTGACAACCACACCCGTGCTCTTTCTGGGACCTCAAGGCTGCCCCACTGGAACATTCCTTTAAATCCTGGTTTCCTTATTGCTTACATAGTATTGCCCCAACCTCTGCTGAGTTGAGGAGGCATTCATACCCATTGCCATCAAGTCGATTCTGACTCATAGCGACCCTAAAGGACAGAGTAGAACTATCCCATAGGGTTTCCAAGGCTTTCTTTAAGGAAGCAGACTGCCACGTCTTTCTCCCATGGAGCAGCTGGTGAACTCAAACTGCCAACGTTTTGGTTAGCAGCCAAGCGCATAACCAGTGCACCACCAGGGCTCCTTTAAGGAGGCATAGAGGGACCAAAAAATCATTCCTGGGGACTTCTGTTTACCTTGGATGGCCGTGAAACTCTGATCTGGGGTTCACGCTGTAGGCCTCCAAGCCCCAATTGGTTTCTTTGGGGTCAGGGAGAAAATAGTTGGCCTGGAGCATGGAGTCTGCCTTCTAGGAAGATGAGGTCTCTAGGAAGCCCTGCCTTCCCTAGCGCTGCCTACCTCCCTCCTCTCCCACCTTCGCTGGCCCTACCAGTTTTTCCTCAGGACATTTGCATATACAGTCTTGAGCCCTGGGCTCTGGACATACCCTCACTGGGAAAAGGCCCATTAGGAAGTGTGTAGAGACAGATTAGCACCTAATTAAGACTTTCTCTATCCTAAGAACCCTTGGAAGAGGAATAAAAAAAGGTGGAACTCAGCAGAAAGTGGAACAGCCTGAGTGTGGGTGATGGGGATGGGAAGGAGGCAGAATCTGTCTTGAGGCTGCTTCTAGCCTGATGGGGGAGCGCAGAACACTAGAGCTCAGGAAAAGTGGAAAAGCCATCAGTTGAGGAACATGTGACATGTTGCTGGATCTTGGAGGAAGGGCTCAGAGAAGGCTGCCTGGAGGAGGTGGCATTTGAACCAAGCCCTGAAAGGTGAACAGGAATTTCATGGGCAGAAAATAGGTCCCAAAGTGCCTGTGGTTCTAACCTGTTTATTTCAGAAATGGGGAAATAGAGGCCCAGAATGGCTTTCATACCTCTTGCTTAATAATGAGGTGGTATCTGTGAGTCAGAATCGACTCAACGGCAAAAGGTTTGTTTTTTTTTTTTTTGGTTATCTTGTTTATGGGTGATATGGAAATGTCCAGGGTGCATTTTAGAAAGTTGTCCTGTTAAGGGAACTGGGGCTGAAGCTGAGACTGGGGCTTTGTAGTCATAGGATTTGGGTTCAAATCCTGACTCTGCACTCTTCTGCTATGTGACGTTGAGGGCATCCCTACACGACTCTCCTCTTCTACTTGGTAACTGCCCCAACTCAGTGGCCTTCTTTTGGTTCTCAACACACTGGGTTCATTCCTACTTTATAGGCTTTGTACTTGCTGATCCTTTTGCCTTAAATCCTTTCCCTCTGCTCCTTTTCATCCTTTAGTTCTCAGCTCAGAGAGGCCTCCTGGGATGACCGTAGTAAAGTAGCCCCTCTCCGGTCTCTGTTGATCCCCTGCTCCTGTTTTATTTTCTGCCTTGCATATATCACTACCTGGCATTATTTATTATTTAACTTGTTGTCTCTGTCTCCCTGATTGTGAACTTCTTGAGGGCAGGGGCTGGGTCTGTCTTGTTCATTGCTACAGAGCCTGTCCATTAGCCAGCTTGTTATATGTATATATTAAATGTTGAATGAATGGGTTTCAGTTTCTCTGTTTTTGAAATGAACTGGTTTCAGTTTCTCTGTTTTTGAAATGGGCATAATCCCGGTCTCCTGGAGGCCTGGATGTACAGAGCACAGGGCCTGGCATGGAGTGACCATGACGGTGTTCACTTTCCTTGTCCTTCAGACGCTGCCCTCCCGGTGCCACCAATGTGTGATTGTCACCAGCTCCAGCCACCTGCTGGGCACCAAGTTGGGCCCTGAGATTGAGCGGGCTGAGTGCACCATCCGCATGAACGATGCTCCCACCACAGGCTACTCAGCTGATGTGGGCAACAAGACCACCTTCCGTGTGGTGGCCCATTCTAGTGTATTCCGTGTGCTGCGAAGGCCCCAGGAGTTCGTCAACCGGACCCCTGAAACTGTATTCATCTTCTGGGGTCCCCCAAGCAAGATGGAGAAGCCCCAGGGCAGCCTTGTGCGTGTCATCCAGCGGGCAGGCCTGGTGTTCCCCAACATGGAGGCCTACGCCGTCTCTCCCTCCCGCATGCACCAATTTGACGACCTCTTCCGGGGTGAGACGGGCAAAGACAGGTACCAGCCTCCCACCTGCCTCCTCTGGCCAGCCCCCTGTTCCTTCTCAGCATGCTCTGCCCAGAGTGCCTTGGCTCCCAGCATGCAGTCCTCTGAGGGTGTGGTCACCCCTTCTTGCCACCCGCTGGTCAGGTTTCCTAAGAGAGTTCTCATTATGTCCAACTCTTAGCATGGGTCATTTCTAACATGCTCTGTGTGGCTGTCTCCCCAGAAGGACTTCCTGCCAGCATGCTTTGCTTTGAGGACATGCTCACCTCATCAGGCCCTTGTCCTGATGAGTCTCTACAGGAGAGCACCCTCCCAGCAAGTCATAATCTGAAGGCAAATCTTCACCCAGCATGCCTTTCTCTGACTAGCCCCCTTTAGAGAACTTTCCTCCCAGCACACCTTGCTCTGAAAAAACAAGAGTTCCCAGCATGCTCTGTTCTAAGATTACATAGTCACTCCTAACATGTTTCTAGGAGAACTCCCCATAGCATACCTAATCTAAAGTCTTGGCTATTCCCAGCATGTCTTGCTTAAAGCACACAATTTCTCCCAGCCTGCTCTATTCTAAGGATATAGCATTCCCAGCACGCTCTGCTCTGACTAATCTCCCTAGGAAAGCTCTCCAGCATTGTACCTTAGTCTAGACCAGTGCTTTCCGATATAAATACAATGCAAACGACATATGTAGTTAAAAAGTTTATAGTAGCTACATTGAAAAAATAAAAAGGAACAGGTGAAATCAAGTTTAATATATTTAACTCAATATGTCCAGCTTATAAATCCTGTACATGTTTTGTTAGATTTATACCTAAATATTAAACATTTTTTGGGGCAACGGAATTTCTTTTTTTTTTTTTTTTTTAGTTACCAATGGTTAATTGCTAGTCTCGCGAAATGCAATGGATTCTTTGGAATTTTCTATGCGGATAGTTATGTATATGCAGATAAGGACAGTTTTATTTCTTTCCAGTCTGCATGCCTTTTATTTCTTTTTCTTGTATTGCCCTGGCTGGATTTTCCAATATGATGCTGAATTTATTGGAAGTGGTATGAGTGGACATCCTTGCTTTTTCCCAATATTAAGGGAAGGCATTCAGTCTTTCATCATTCAATTTGATATTAGCTGTGGGTTTTTATAGCTGTCCTTTATCAAGCTGAGGAAGTTCCCTTCTTTTCCTAGTTTGCTGAGAGTTTTTATCATGACTGGATATTGAATTTTATCAAATTTTTTTTTGTTCATCAATTATATGATCATGTGGTTTTTCTTAAGACTGTTAACATGGTAGATTACATGACTGCTTCTCAAATATTGAATTAGCCTTGTATTTCTAGAATAAACCCTACTTCGTTGTGGTATATCGTTCTTTTTATAGATTGCTGGATTTGATTTGTTAAGAATTTTTGTGTCTGTGTTTATGAGAGATATTGGTTTATAGTTGTGGGGTTTTTTTGTACTCTTTTTGTCTGGTTTTGGGATCACAGTAATGCTGGCCCCAGAATTAGGAAATGTTGTCTCCTCTCCTCTATTTCCTGGAAGAGATTATGTAGAGTTGGTGTTATTTCTTCTTTAAATGTTTGGTAGAATTTGCCAGGGAAACCATCTGGGTCTGGAGAGTTATTTTTCAGAAGGTTTTAAACTATGAATTCAATTTCTTTAATAGATATAGGATATTCAGGATATCTGCTTCATCTTGGGTGAGTTTTGGTAGTTTGTGGTTTTCAAGGAGTTGGCCCGTTTCATCTAAGTTGTCAAATTTATATATGCAGAGTTGTTTCTGGTATTTTCTTATTAATCCTTTTAATGTCTACCTAGTCTATGGTGATAGCACCTCTTTCATTCCTGTTATTGGTAATTTGTGTCTTTGCTCTCTTTTTCCTTGTCAGTCTTGTGAGAGGTTTATCTTTTTTTTTTTTTTTTAACTTTTCAAAAACCACCTTCAATCAAATATATCTAAAATATTTTTAGTTCAGTATGAACCAATATCAGAAAAATTATCAACGACATATCTTACATTCTTTTGTTTTTTTTTAGTACTATCTTTGAAATCCAGTGTGTGTTTTACACTTAGAGCACATCACAGCCACAGGTCACGGGCTCAATATCCACATATGAGTAGTGGCTGCTGTAGTGGACAACATAGCTCTAGGGTCTTGGATGCTTCTTCCATGCTTTGCTATGAACTTGTGGTCGCTCCCAGCATGACCTTCTCTGATTAATCTCTCTCTAGGAGACTCTCATGGGTACAGCTGCTTCTAGCATGCTCTGTGGTCATGGTCACTCCCAGCCTGCCTGGCTCGGACCAGTTTCCCCGGGAGAGCTTATTTCTAGTATGGCTGCTCCCACTGTTTCCCCCAGAGTAGCTCTCTCCACATCCCTCATCTCTGCCCAGGCGAGCCCTCTGCTAGCATATCCTGCTCCCAAAGAAGGGCTGGACTAGGGGTAACTGAAGAGGAAGGAGGGCTCCAATGGGTGGGTGGGAGGAGTTCCAGAAAATTCCAGGGGGTTGACCATTCTTCCCTGCATGCCCCTCATCATGACCTTTCTCTGCCCCCAGGGAGAAGTCCCACTCGTGGTTGAGCACGGGCTGGTTCACCATGGTGATTGCAGTGGAGTTGTGTGACCATGTGCACGTGTATGGCATGGTCCCCCCTGACTACTGCAGGTGAGCTCCCCTAGCCAGTGCCCTCCCAGAACAATGCCCAGTTGGTGACAGCGGGAGGAGCTGGGGGACTCGGAAATCTTGGCTGGGGCTGCCTTTAAGGGTCTCTATTATATGACGTTCAAACTGTTCTGCAGAGATTTAGGCTCCTGGGGGTATCTCATCAGCCTCCACCCCAAACTTAAAAAAAAAACAAAAAAATACCCTGTTGACATCTAGGACAGGGTAAAACTGCCCCATAGGGTTTCCAAGGCTGTAATCTTTACAGAAGCAGACTGCCACATCCTTCTCCCACGGAGCAGCTGGTGGATTCGACTCTCCAACCCTTCAGTTAGCAGCCAAGTGCTTAACCACTATGCCACCAGAGCTTCTCTACCCTAAGCTTAGCCAGAGTTTATTAACAATTACTGTTGTCATTGTATGAAAAGCATACTAGGTGACAGCTACTCTTTACTGAGTGTTGACCATGTGCCAAGCATGACTACATTTATTATCTCATTTACTCCTCACAGCAACCTAAGGGATAGATACAGTTATTCTCCCTATTCCATAGCTGAGAAAAATGGAGGAGGATTTTTCTGAGTGGCCTGAGGTTCCACAAGTGGTAAGAGGACCAATCTCCAGAGTCCAGAGTCCCCACAGTACCACACACTGGTGGCCTCTTGGGGAAAGGAAAAAGTTCTGTTGCTTTAAGAAAAAAATAGTTTGATGATCTCAGACCTAGCCTACTCTATACCCATTTTACAGATGGGGATACTGAGGCCCAAGGAGGGGCAAGGATTTCCCCCACTGAGGTCCTATAGCAGGTCAGGAGTTGGAAAGCCTAAGCCCCACCCTGGGCAAGGGTCGCGCTGGTGCCCGCCCTGCCCTTATGGCCCCCATCTGCTCTGCCCTAGCCAGCAGCCCCGCCTGCAGCGCATGCCCTACCACTACTATGAGCCCAAGGGGCCGGATGAGTGTGTCACCTACATCCAGAATGAGCACAGCCACAAGGGCAACCACCACCGCTTCATCACCGAGAAGAGGGTCTTCTCGTCCTGGGCCCAGCTGTATGGCATCACCTTCTCCCACCCCTCCTGGACCTAGGCCACCCTGCCTAGGGACACAGGAGAACGGCTTGCCGCTCAGCCACTCAACCACGGAGCATCTCCTGGCCAGTCAAGGCTGGCCAGAGTGTTTCCCGGCCAATCAGGGCCTTGAAGAGGATATATCTTCCAGCCAGTCAGGGCCTGGTCATATCTCTTGGTCAATCAGGGATTTGGGATTCTGTGTGGTTAATCAGGGTGTCAGAGAGGTATTTGTATCCAATCAGGGTTTGAGCATAGTCAGTCAGGGTATGGGACTATTTCTGAGCCAGTCTAGGCCAACAACATGTCCTTTCCCATGAGGCCTTGGTTCAGAGCCCCAGGAATGGACCCCCAAATCACTCCTCACGTGGGGGTGGGACAATGGGGTCCTGTCCCAAGAAGTTGGGAACTTTGTGTGACTCCTTCACCTCCCAGTGCTAGAAAGAGACGTTGTGTGGGGGTAGGAGCTGTCTGGAAGCTGAGCCAGAGAATTTATGGGGGTTGTGGGGAGGTTCCAGAAGTCGAAGTCCTGAATCTGGGTCTGGGCCCTGCCAAGTGACCTTGGGAAAATCCCTCCCCTTCTCTGGGGACCCTTCTGCCTGTGTCAGGTTCTATGTGGAGTCTGAACCCCCCTCCACCTCCCCCACTGACCTGACCACCCTTGGGTCTGTCCTCCCTGAGACTGGACCCTTCCAGCCACTACCCCTTGCTGGGAGGCTCAGCTCCCTGGGGGTCTGGGGTTCCCTTCCCTACCTCCTTCTGGAAAACTTTAGGATATTTTTGCGTAAACTCCTCCAGGGTTGGGGGACTCTGACAGGAGTGGGACAAAACTTCAGCTGTTTTCTTAGTCCCCTCAGCCCCACTGGCATTAGCTTGGTTCTTAAAGGGCCGGGCCTCCTTTTCACTATCCAGTGTGAGGCCTCTCCACTTGGGGCCTTTGGGGCTGACGAAGGGGTGGGATCCCAGCCAAACTTGGGTTTCATGTGGTTCTTTTGTCTAGAGCCACTGGGGCCGCTGGGGGCTTCAAGGGTCTCCCCAGCCAGGCCTAGGATGGCTGTAGGGGGCCGGGAACCGTGTTGCCTGTGTTCTGTCCCCTTGCTTCAAATGGCCCTTTATTGCTGGAGCTCAGTGGAGTGGATTTGTCCCCTGCTCCTCCAGAGCTTGGAAAGGAAGACTCAGAGGGCTTCCTGGAGGAGGTTGTGGAGGCGGAGGGGTCAGGCAGAGGTGGAGGTCAGCAGACAGCCGTTGCACATTGGGGTGGGGGGCTGGTGACTGCCCCAGACTTGGTTTTGTAATGATTTGTACAGGAATAAACACACCTAAGCTCTGGCTTGCTTTCTTGTGTCTCCCTGGTCGAACTCAGCCCTCTCTGGCCCAGCGCTGTGAGCTTCCTCAGGACAGTGCCCCACCCTTGGGCTGAGCACTCACGGAAAAGTGGGAGGTTCAGCTTGTTAAGGGCTGGAACCAAGCCCACCTGGCTTGCCCTGTCCCTGCCTCTTCCTGCCTGTGTGACCTTGGGCAAGCCACTTCACCTCTCAGAGCCTCAGTCCTCTCATCTGGGTACAGCTACAACCAGACACTGCTCTGGAGGAGTTCAGGTCCTAGGGAGGGGAGGGACAAAAAGTTCTACCTTAGTTGGTCTCTTCTATAGGGGGAAGGGCTATGAAGATAGTAACACAGGGCTGCAAAAGGGACTTTTGAGAAGATGAGGCTTTTTCCTGAGGCCTGGAAGCTGAGGAGTCATGCAGAGGTCTAGGGGAAGAGCTTCTGGGCTGGGAGGGGGGAAGGAAGCAGGCAGGGAGAGTGAAATTCCTGCAACAGAAAGCAGCCAAGGAGGAGCTGGAGGAGGCCAGAGAGGAATGAACACGGGAGGGAGGGTGGAGGGTGGCAGGCGGCAGGCAGGCAGGCAGGCAGGCAGGCAGGCAGGCAGGGAGGCAGGCAGGCAGGCAGGCAGGCAGGCGGTGGGTCAGAGGTCTGCAGACCCAGAACGCAGAGGGCCTCCGGGTGCGGGCCTGGCCCAGCAGGAGACAAGCAGGCAGGGCTGCAACCCTCAGCAGGGGGAGGGAGGGGTACATGAATGGAGGGATGGTGGACGCCCAGAACCCTATGCTTGCTGCTGCCAACCTCACAGCAAAAGCTTTGTTTCTTCCAGGTTGGCAGGTGGAAGAGGGTCCCTGACTCCGGAAGATTATAACCTGTTTAGGCAGATAAGATGCCCTTGGGAGCAGAGGCCGAACAAAGTATAACTGTGAGACAAGGGCAACAGGCCTATGTGCTGGAACCTCCCAGGGGCCTTGGGCTGCTGGGGAGAGAGAAAGAGAACTCTCCCCAGGCACTGGGCCAGCTGGATGGTGGCCACCAGAGCTGGAGGCAGAATGGCCCTTTGCGTTTGTCAACTCACGTATACATTTGTACAATAAGCAGAAACGTGCCACACGCGTACTAGGTGCAGTTGATGAATGAGGGACTGTCAGGTGGGAGGGATGGCAGGCACGTGGCCTGGTGGGGAACATGGCCTCACTCAGTGGACAGTGAGGCCAGTTTGGCTGCAGCAGGAGGAAGCAGTGGGAGATGAGAGCACTTGGGCCAGATGGCCCAAGGCCATGAATGCCAGCCTGAGGGTGGAGCCTCCAGGCTTCTTGCTTGGAGAAGACAAGTTAGGCAGCCGCAGGAAGGGCAGGAGGCTGGGAGGTTGCCTGGCCCAACGTGCTGGGGTGGACCGGACGCAACAATGGGCGGGCGGGGGGGGGCGGCGTTCTAGAGGGACAGGGACTCCTTGCGAAGTCATTACATGGAGAGTCTAAAGTCCCGCGTGGGTAAGGGAATGTGGCACACTTCCAACCCCATGCGAAGACAGAGGTTTCTGGGTAGTCTCATTATTCCCAGAATGCCTTCGTTCTTCTGTCTGCCTAATGGTGGGTGTGAAGGGGAGGTTGGCAGGAGGGTGTCAAGAGGGGGTTGGTTTCGAGGGGAGGTCTCTGGGAAAGCTCATTTTAGCATCAGGACGTGGGACTTGGTGGAGGACACTGAGGGCAGGAGGTCTGGGGCTTAGTCCCCAAATCCTCCACCCCTCAAACTCTCACCTTCTCAGGTGGGACTCAGGGGCACTGATCTGCTCATTGCCAAAGTCGTCTCCTTGATGTCCCCACCCTCACATTCCTCTTAGCTCTGGAAACCTTTGCTGGCTCCCCACTGTGGCCAGGACCAAACCCACCACCTCATTTAACTTTCAAGGCCCTCCTGCACCTACATCTGCACCTGCACCCCCACTGTATCCCCTTTCCAGTTACCCCTGTGAACCATGCACTTCCTCTGTGGAGAGGGACCCCACCCCCACCCCTCCTGGGAGGGTGCCCATCTCCTGCAACCTCTCCCCTAAGCTGCAATCCCGAGCATATACTTCCTGAAAGAGACACTCTACTGGGCCTGTTCCAGCTGTTTCTTGCTGATGCTGAGAGATTCCGGTTCTGCTGGTTCCACAGCAGGACCCACCCAGGGCAGCCCTGTGCCCTGGACCCTGCGTGGGGACCCCGTGGACCCAGTCGTGATTCTTAGAGTGATCCAACACTAGAATCATTCCATGATGCTGGCTTGTTTTCAAGCTTTGAAATTCCTTCTTTAACAAAAATAGTTATAAAATATTTTTTAAAAATTGCTTTCATCTTTACATATTTATGCTTTTAGGTATTTAGATACATATGTGTGTGTGTATATATATGTTATAAAATAATTTAAGCCATACAAATTATATAAGGTAGAAAGCGAGGACACTTCCAATCCTATTCCCTGTGATAGGTGTAATCTTCCAGGTTTTCCTCCATGTAAGTTTTTCCCTTCCTCCCTCCTTCCCTTCCTTCCTCTTTCCCTTTCTTTCTCTCTCCCCCTCCCTTCTTTGCTTCCTTCCCTCCCTCTCTTCTTTCCTTCTTTTCTCCCTTCTTCCCTCCTTCCCTCCTCATGGCTTTTTTTCTCTCTTTAGATTATAGCTGGGAAAAAAGTCCTGACTCTTCAATACCCTGGCATTGGTGGAAAATTCACAGGTCACATGCCAATGAAATAATTAGAATGAGGTACTTAAAATTGTTTTATGTATAAAGTAATAGATGCTTGTTAAAAAAAAAAAGAAGCATGGGGAAGCCTTTAAGTAAGTGAAAGTCCCGCCTTCACGCAGGGGGATGGGCTGCAGGGGGGCCTTCACCCCGTTTGTCAGTTCTGCTTCATTTCATAGACTCTAAGATATTGCTGATTGTAAGACAGTTCGACTTCAGAGATGCTAAAATGCAAACAGTGTGCATTTTGGAATAGATTTTACACACATGTGCACACACACACCTGCCTGCCTGTTCAGAGTTACTTTCCTGCCGGTGAGATCAGACTAGTGTTATGCATCCAGGGCTTCTTGCCTCCACCAGCCCTGAAAACCTCCCGCTGACTTCCCTTCTCACACTGATAGCAGTCACCTGCCTTCGCCCCTGCTGGCTGCCCCACTATTCCTCCCACGAGTTCCCCCGCTGGCACTAGAGAACCATCCTGTATGCATGCTATGACTGAGTGTGTTTCCCTGAAATGGATTTCTAAAAGTAAAATTGTGGGATTTAAGGGTGCATTTAAAATTTTGATTTACATCATCACTTTGCTGTCCCCAAAGGTTGTGCCAATGCACACAGCCACCAATAACTTTTTAGAGGACCTTTTAAACAACTTCTAATGCAGAACCTCTGACTCACTGCACCGTTCCCACTCAAAAGATGAGGAAACTGAAGTCCCAAGAAGTAAGGACCTCATCTGATGTCACAGGTGGCAGGGCTGGGCTAGATGCAGGCCTCCTGGTGTCCTGGCTGCTGTTGTTAAGATGCCACCCTCTTAAGGTGGACTCCCTCTCCTCGTGGTTTCACTCTCCTGCTCAAACACCTTCCATGGCTCCCTAGTGCCTACAAGACAAACTCAAAATTCAACCCACCCTTCAAGAACATGGTATGGTGTAGTGGGCAAGGGAGCCTTGGAGCTGGATGGTCCTAGGCTCTTGTCCCCCTGTCCTGCTACATTTGTTAAGCACCTACTACTCTGTACAAGTTTTCATGCAAAAGGCTGGCTAAATGTTAATGATGGTCACTTTCTACCTGGGAACCTCAGGCAAGCTATTGTACATGTCTGAACCTCTTTTTCCCCTTGTGTGTTTAAGGGTTTACAGATGTGGAGTGAGTCCAGCACTCTGCCCAGCAGCTGGTGTGTAGTGAGTGCTCAATTAATGGGAGTGATTCTTTTTATTAGGATTAGTCAGTCCCCCGTCTGGGTGCCTGAGTTCTGAACTTCCCACCCTAGCCTCACTCACTGGAACCTCCCAGCAGACCAGAACTCCTAGGGGTAGGGCTGACTGACTTTTATAACCTCTGAGTTCCCAGTCACCAGCTAGGGGTTGGGTATGTGGGTGGTCTTTGGAGTCCTGGGGAGTTTTAGCTCCAGAAGGACTCCTGGGGGCCCCTCCCAACATAGGAGGGGGAGTCTCAGACAGGTCTCAGCCCCGCGGGATCTGAGGAGGGGTTGGGGAACTGGTCTGGCCAGCAGAGCCCAGGTCCGTTCCTCTCCCTCCCACATTCTGGCCTCTCTCTGTCA